TAACCAGTTAGCGACAATTTTCGAATCGCTATCGCACTTTTTGACGCAAATATATTTTTATCATGCGTCAAAAAGTGCGATAGTGATCCGGAAATTGTACAAAATCTCCCTCCTAAAGCAAAAAATATCGCAAAGAAGTACATTTGACTGTACTTCCGAAAGAAGTACGGTTGGTCACATTATGTATACCAAACCGTTAAAGTTGAAAATCATGTTGAACCTATTCTACTAATCGCTTACGTTTTTGCTAAGTGTTTGACCGAGCTTTTGCTGCAATTTATTGTTGCCCTCTTAAGGGTCAATGTTTTTTAAATTAGATGCTTTTTCATGTCCACGTAGCCCTCGCGAATGTGGTTCTTCGCCTGCGCGCGAGTACTTTGAGAAAAACTTGTTTATGATTTCGAGATGTTGAGCGCACTAGAGATCCAAGCCTGATGAAAGGGGTTTACGAACAACACACATTTTTCGCTTTTGCTCTCCTTTGTAGTTATGTGCATTGAATTTATGATTTTCGATTAAAATTTTATTAGGTTTTCGTCTCCAATCAACAAAGTGCATGGCTATCGTGGAGATGTGGAAGAAGTTACAACATTCGAATGTGGTACAACTGCGTGAAGTATTCACGACAAAAGCATTTGGTGATAATTGTACGTGGTATTGTTGAAATATGCATGGATTTTCTTTTCAAATGCGAGATAAAAATGTATGTATTTTATTTTTTTTTTTAAATCTCCAGCGTTAGTATTAGTTTATGATTATCATCCCGGCTCACACACCTTGCTTACAAAGTACTTTACGCCCACACAGGAGCCCAATGGCTATCCCGATCCATTCCAAGGCGATGCGCGCCCATTCAGGTATGTATGTATCATTAATGAAAAAGATAAATTGCGTCAGACCACCAGCCGATTGAAAGTTTTATCTGCAATCGAGTCTGATATTACGTATAGTGAAGGTTATCGAGTCAACACACAAAAGCTTATTTGTATGGATCTCTCTGCATCTTGTATTAGGCAAAGTTTTGAAAGAGTACTTAATGGGAAAATCAGTGAAAGAGAAGAGTATGAATCGTAGTTGTTGTATCGTGCTGGTGATTTATTTTGCAGCATCTTACCCAACCATTAAAGTATTCGTGTGTAATAAGTAGAATAGTTTTCGGAAGAAAATGATTGGCGCCTTGATCATAATAGAGGTATTTTCTATGCTTATCAGGTATGTTCTGTATACACGCATGATTTGAAATCGGTACGATTTGCTAAATATTGATCGTTATTTCCGATGAATAGACTGAATATTGTATATAAAACCTATAACAGAAACATCAGCGATGTTATATCAGCCGTTTCAATATCTATAAAAATATTTCCAAAATCGTACCGATTTCAAATCGTACGAACTTCCGTGTATATGTTAATGGAACCTAATTACATACATACATATATTTACACACTAGGGTGATTTACTCGAATTTTTCAAACCGGTTTTATTCGGGTTGTTCAATATTTATACAACAACATCTCAAAATTCCCTGCAAATTCAGTACATTTGTTTTTTTTTGTTGAAAGCGCAAACATAACTTTTTTTTACCAATCATGCTCTTAAATACAATCAAGTCAAGTACCCTTCGAAAATTTTTTTTGGTAAAGGTATGTTTTTCATATTGCCGCAAATCACTTAAGCAAAAATCCAGCTATGTTAGAAAATGAGAAGCTTTGTAGACTAAGTTTATTTATTTAGAGATGCGTTCATTCAAAGTTTTTGCATATTTACCATACAGATTTTTTTAAGTAATTTTTCGTAAAAACACATCTTCTGAGGCACTGTAGCGAAAAGCTATAAAAAATGTATTTATACTCTAGCACATCTGATTCCAGATTTGGTTCACGAAATGATTTAATAAAAAGCATTATATATATATATTAGAAATTACATTTAAAAAGGCAAGGTTCAGGTGTCTAGACACTAAGGAAAAAATCCGTTGATCCCAGAACTTTTAAATATTTATTGGATCTAATGTTTAATTTCAAGAGTTTTATTCCATTTTTGGCTTTCAATTTTTGACTAACTGTAAGCCTTATCTAAGCGCGAAAAATTAAAGGCAAATTTACAGTCTAGCCGGTTTTTTTCTGAATTTGAAAATTAAGAACTGGCTTTACCAAATTGCCTTTTTTCGAATAACTCGAAACCCGGTTTTGAGAAAATGTCGAATAATCCAACACCCTAGTATATATTACATATGTACATCCATACAACTTTTAAATTCACATTTGAATAAAAGTGGGTCATTAATTAGTCTGTTCGAATAGCAGTCCGGTTTACAGCATTTAGTCAGAACTTACAGGAAGTCGTTCCTATCGGCATAAAACCTGTAAGTGGGAACACTTTTGAGAGAGTAACTGAGCGACTGTTCCTAGCCAGAAGTTACAGGATTTAGTCCGGACTTCTTTTTCCTGTAAGTGTCAAACGATCAGCTGATTTGCATGTCCAAACAAAAATAGAAAGCGGTGTAAGCAAAAAACCTTATATTTGTAGAAAAATGGAAGTAAAAAACGAAATATTTGAATATGTATAGATTTTAATAATTAGTTAGTGATATTTCAGCCAAATCAGTGTTGTACAAATGACATGTAAACAAACCGACTGACGTTTTTACAGGAAATAGTGCTTTTTGCGTTCCCGTGCACTTCTGCATCTCTAAAATTGTAAAATTGTAGTTTGACAGTTCCACAGGTTTTAGTCCGAAGTTCAAAGGAACAGACTAATTTCTTGTATCTTGAATAAGGCCAACAATATCACGTGAGTCAGCTGATTTGTCTGCATATTCCGGCCACGAATTGCGTTCTTATGTTTTCTGTGAGAGTAATTTTATTTTACGCTCTAGTTCCGAGTTTCACAATTTTTAACAAAAAATAAATTTCATTAAAACTATCTTAAATGGCTTTTATTTACGTGTCATATTTATGTATGTCTTTTATTTTAGGTGCCACTGTTGAGGAAATTTATAAAAAATAGTGCCTAAGGTATGCCGCCATTTATTGTCAAATCAAGTACAAACCACGCAGCCATGCCCACACGTGTTAACTAACCTCTCTGCAAGCCATGTTCCCAAAATCTTAGGGAAATAGTATCGCAAGGTGTGTTACTATTTCAGAAATGGTATTTCTTTAAGAAACGTCAAAGAAAATCATATGAAGTGGTTGACACGAACTCGTAAAGAAATTTCTGTACAGTTTCTTAAAATTCTTTAAAAATTCTTCACATG